AAACCAATCTGGATTTATGGCATACAGCTATGGGGATGTGCCAGCAAGAGTAATATCAACATGATTTAAGTTTTCCAAAATAAAGTCCTAACATGTATTGTTGATGCACCTTGGTTCTACCGAAACGATTATCTTCATAGAGACCTGAAGATGCCAACAATCGAAGAAGAAATAAAGAGGTTTGCTGCGAAACTTGAGGGTCGACTCCACTCCCACGTCAACGAAGAAGCGCTGGAATTACTGGACAACTCTACACTCAACAGAAGGCTCAAAAGGAAGAAGCCATTTGAGTTAGTGCTAGTGTAAAACAGTGTAATAAATCTTCACACCAACTTGTGATGCTTTCCTATAGAAACAATTAAGACAGCCCAATGGGGACTTCTTAGATAAGTAATTAGTTTGTAAGATTTTTAGATTAAAATTGTAGGTTAGTCAGTAATGACTAGTAACAATACTCTAACAAAAAAAAAATAAAATAAAAAAATAATAAAAATAAGGTTGAAACCAATTTAAATTTTAAAATATTATTAATAGTGAATAAGAATGATTTAGCAAGGATGACAAAGAACTTGGTGGATATGCTTGTTTGTGGATAATAAGCACTGATGATGGCACCTTGCCGAAAGCGCTTTGGATTTAATTATTAAATATTTTGCACGAAATACGAAGTCTTTCCTTTTTAATCCAAACTACGTGCATAAAGCCGTCAACCTTTTTTGGTTATTTTAATATTTAAAAAATATTTTTACATCATTCGGTAGTAACCAAATAGCACAAAATTGTGATATTTATTTGATTGAACTTGCATAATAAATGATAGAGTTGCGCTAACTTGATATTTAAAATAGCACAATATTGATTTAAAAAGAATATATTTAACCAAACTGGTCTTTGATTCCACACATAATTTGCACAAAAAACGCACAAAGTTATGGTATTATTCAAATTAAAATTGCTTGATAAATTATAAAGAGATGTGCTAAATAAAACGTTAATCTAGCACAATATTTAATTAAAAAAGGATATATTTGACCAAATTTATTTTTGATTCCTCACATAATTTACACAAAAAACGCACAAAATTATGGTGTTAATCAAATTAAAATTACTTGATACATAATAAAAAGGTGTGCTAACTTTACGTTAAGCTAGCCCAATATTTAATTAAAAAGATTATATTTGACCAAATTTATTTTTGATTCCGCACATAATTTGCACAAAAAACGCACAAAATTATGGTGTTATTCAAATTAAAATTACTTGATAAATAATAAATAACTTAACGTTAAGCTAGCACAATATTTAATTACAAAAAACTTTATATGCACAAAAATCGTGAATAGTGCACAAAAATTGCACACAATTGGCACATAATTATAGATAAGGTTCTGATTGATTGTGCTAATATCGTTGTGCTTACTTTATATACCTGAAAAAAAAAAACAGTGTTCTTAAAACAAATATAATTAAAACAATTATACACAATATGTCACAGCTGGACACACACAAATATGGGTTTTACTATAATAATAAATAGGCAATAAAATATTTCTTATCAACTTTCATAAATATCTTGGGCACTCGTCACAGCCCTTGGCTGAGTGTTAAAACTGCGATTCAAATACAACAAAGACTTAGTTCTTGCAACAGAGATCCACAGCCTCCGTTTAGAGTGTCAGTGATCTGAAGCCGCTATTAGGAGACCTCTACCAGGCAGCCTCCTATGGGGACGATCCTGCCCTGTGGAAATAGCCTTGTGCGACTTAGGGTGGGTCAAAAGAATTTTTTTTAATTTAATTTATAGGTAGCAAAATAAACTTACCTTTTGCGTTTTTAATCACACTCTAAAAATCTGGATTATTTATTTTTTCATTAGAGCCCCCCCCCCCCCCCTTTAGGCCCAAAATAAGAAGAAAAAAATAAAGAACTAAATAACTTAAGGTACCCCAAAAACGTTAACTAGTACATTTATTGTGACCCCAAAAAAATCTTGGTTGCCCAAGTTAATATTTAAGCCCTCCCCAACGCCAAAAACCTCCCTATTTTATAATTTTTATAACACAATAATACCTTTTTTAATGTTGAAATAATGATATTATTTTTTTTAAGAAAATCATATTTTGTTTATCATCCGCTATTGTTCTATTTAATAGACGCTGATTCATCGTCGATGCATCCTTGCATTACTTGCGCGTGCGCAGCACTGTTTTCTTATGTTTTATATTCTACTCCTCTGGCGCCAATCGAATCGACACTATATCAATCGCGAGTTAACTACAGAGAAGTACGTTTGCCTGTAATTTAGTTTTAAGTGTTTTTTCATATGGTTTTAGTGGTATTGTGATCAACAAACTAAAATAATAATTAGGATATCTATTAAAACATATATATATATATATATATATATATATAAACTAAGGAATCTTGGGATTTTCAGCAAAAATCTAACAATTGTGTACTCTTTTAAGTATTTATTCCAAGCTTTCGAACATGATTATGTTCATCTTCAGGGAGCTACAATATTAATTTTTACAAAGGTTATAAGAAACAATTTTGAAAAAACATATACTTACAACTCAGTGAGAATCGTTGCGTACATGTGGTGTTATATTAATAAAAAATTTACGGTACATCACAAAACGAGATAAAAATGGTTGATAACAATCATGTTAGCCAAAAAGTTTATATTTTTAATTTTACGTTAGGGCACATGGTCAAATTTTTAAAATAATTAATAAAATTCACATCTAACACCGTTCGGTACTAGAAACGAAAATGAAACTTTTTTATGTTACTATTTGAACTATTTTTAGCGTGGGTACAAAGAGTCAGTTGTCATATGCCTGTCAACCGTCAGTCAAACAGTAGGAAAAAGAAGAAACCGTCAATGGCCTATGTCACCTAAGCACTAACAGTTCAACATCTCTGATACTGCCAAACTGATAGTTGAGAGTCATATGATGAAATAAATTATTTAAATATTATATTTTATATATTAAATGTCAGAAATCATTGCAAGAAGGTATTACGGATAAAATTATGATTTGTATTTCAAGATGTCACTAATCCTATAAGCGACGTCACCCTCTGAGTGAACCATCCCAACGCACTAGGCTAAAAGGTTGTCATCCCCCTTGCCCGGGTTGGAACGGAGCACTCACCTGACGATATCGCGAACAGGGCCAGTGCATTTAGTTTTAATGCAAATTTGTAAAAATTGGAAAAAACCAACTATGCAATAACAATTGACATTTTGAACAATGTTCAGTATTGGGAAAAATACTCAAAAGGTACAAAGAAAAACGGATGAAATTTTGATTTGATAACAAAACATGTCACAAGCCTGTTGGTGGTGTCACCAGCTGAGCAGGAACCAAAACACTCAAAAAGAGAGTTAAAGTCCCCCCTCAACTATTCTGTCACCACCCACAGGACAAGTGCATTTGGAGATGACTAAAAAGTGAAATTTTTAACATTGGGGCCTATACATCAGAAATTCCTGACATGTCTCCACTAACAACACCGTGTTTGTCAACATGTAACAGATATGAGAATATTTCACTAAGGTGTTTGATATCTGTTCTTTTATTAATGCAGTTTTCATTTTGATAGATATGTGCCATTTCTAGAAACTGTCTTTTAGAAATGTTCGTTTCTCTTTCTAGCACAGAGACACTATCATAATTCATTATATGGTCATTTTTGCTGACATGTTCTGCCAAAGCACATCTTTCAGGGTGTAATCTACAGTCACTACGGTGTCAAATAGCCGCAGTCGTCGCTGAAAAGTAGAAACAGTTTGGAAACGTGCATCACTTCCTTTTTTGTCAAAAAAACGAATAGTTGATATGATTGTGGCATATCATAAAAAATATCAAAATATCATAAAACCCATTAAAAATAGAAGCAGCACGCACTTAAGTTCAAAATTAAATGTGTTTAAGAATGACTCAGGAAAACTTTTTGATATTTCTACCTGCAAGTGCAAAGACATTAATGTGTGTAAATGTGAAAAAACGAGAAAAATACCTGAAAGAGAATTTAGTTTTCTAATCGACCAACGAACTACGCGACAAATGATTATTGGACGCGTTGATAAACAAACATCTAAAAAATTGACAGAGCAAAAATACAGAAAAGAAAAGCAGAAAAGTAAAACAAATAATAAAACAGATGAAGCCGTAGCAAGCACCAGTGGCTTGCAGAAAAACTCAAACATTGTTCAAAATGAAATGTGTTTTTCTTCTAGTGATAACTACGATCTATTAAAAAGTCGAAAAATAAAACAAACTAAATTAAATGTAGCCCAAATGAGAATCCCCTTATTTCATACAGCTAAAGCCGCGGATTTAACTGAAATTTCAAATAGATCTGCTACAAAAATATCAACTTATTTTTTTAAGAAAATCATATTTTGTTTATCATCCGCTATTGTTCTATTTAATAGACGCTGATTCATCGTCGATGCATCCTTGCGTTGCTTTGGAAGACATGAAAATAGTTTCCAATAAAAAAAGAGCACAAGTTGTTGATAAGAATAAAATTAGAAAGGCATTATTTAAAAATAGAAATTATTTAAAAAACAAATGGCACAACGATAACAAGAACAAAATCTTGATGCAATATACTATGATGGGCGCAAAGACCAAACGATCGTTGACTTAAACGGGCATCGAATCAAAAAACTTGAGGAGCACATTTCATTAATTCAAGAACCAGGTAGTCGGTATTTTGGTCACATATCCCTTACTACATCGTCTAAGGCAACTGATATTGCAAGTGGCATATTATTCTTCTTAAACCAAAATGAAGTTGATATGACAAATATTAAGGTTATCGGTTGCGACGGCACTAATTGTAACACAGGCTGGAAAGGAGGTATACGTCTTGTGGAAACTCAGTTAGGTATAAATTAGTTGGGTTACTTAATATAAACAAAATAATAATACATATACTTTTTTATTTAGGTAAACCTTTGCAGTGGGCTGTATGCTACTTACACGCAAACGAGCTTCCCTTAAAGCATCTCTTACAAAAACTACACGGGCATACCAAAGGCCCGTATCAATACTCAGGAGAAATTGGTTCCTTACTTGGAAATTGCGAAAAACGTCCAATTGTTTCATTTTCGAAAATTGAAACTGATTTACCTGATACAAACTACAAAGACTTAAGCACGGATCAGCAGTATTTATATAGAATCTGTTAGGCTGTTTCAGATGGTATTTGCCCCGCAGATCTTGCACAAACAAACCCAGGAAAAATGTCTCATTCTCGGTGGTTGACGACCGCCAATCGTGTCCTGAGATTATATGTTTCAGTAAGTGAACCATTCAATAACCTTAAACTACCTGCAAAATTTATTGTAAAAGTTTATTGAACAATGTGGTTTGTAACAAAGGCAAAACCATATTTACAATTTGGTGCTCGGCATTTGTGGCAAACGAATTATCTTTCAAGGCAATTTCCTGAAACAATAACAGCCGTTGTTGATAAAGCCATTTTAAATAATGCATTTTACGCACATCCTGAAAATATTTTTGTTGCCATGTTAGCCGATGAAAGAAAACATATAAGAGAACTGGCAGTAGGACGGATTTTAAAAGCTAGAAATAACAAACCAGAAGGTGTTCGAGTTTTTAGAATTCCGAACTTAAACTTTGAGGCTCAAGACTATATTGATTTAATTAAATGGGCAGAATGAACAATTACAGAACCTACTTTAACGACTGGACTAACACATGGAGAACTAGAAAGATTCATAAGCAAAGCAGATGAATTCTCCACAAGATTTGGCAAATTTCCATGTTACACACAAGCAGTAGAAAGGTGCGTAAAGCTTGTAACGGAAGCTGCATTAAAAGTTTGCAGTGAGGAAGCAAGAAATGGTTATATAGTAGCAAAATTAGATGCGAGGAAATCTTTACCAGCGTATGACAACAAGGGTCAATATTATAAATAAAAATGTAATACGAATAATATAATAATTATAATATTTGGGTATGAAATAAAGTAAAATTCTTATTTTTTTATTTTTACTTTTCTATGAGTGTCTTAAAAAATAAAATAAAATATTTAATCAATACACACATTTTGTTTTCCTAGTATTTATAAGAACACTTTTGTTGCTACCACATTAAAAATCTCTAAAAAAAAATTGGGGCCCTTATGGCTTCCAATTTGGGGCCCTTAGGGCTTCCTTAAATATAAGGCTACTACGGTTATGTTTTTTCCTAGAATTACTTTTACTATAAGATAATTTTTTGTTGTTACCGCACTCAAAATATATATATATATATAAAAAAAATTGGGGTCCCTGGGGCACCCTTAAATATTGGGCTACTTGAGTAACTTTTTTTGCAATTGATTTTACCATAAGTTATTTTTTTATTACTACCCCACACAAAATATATATTAAAAAAATTGGGGTCCTCCGGGCCCCCTTAAATATTGGGCAAGGAGCTACTTTTTTTTCTACAAATTCCTTTTGACATAGGGCAACTTTTTATTGGTACCCTCAAATAAATATAATATATAGATTTTTTTTGCAATTTTCGGCCCACCCTATATGTGCTTCTCCCAGGGGATTACCTTTATAACTTCTGCATAGTTTATTGTTATGAAACTAATGTTTAATAATTATTAAATAATCAACCTTGCACAAACAAATTGTCGACTTAATAAAGGATGTTATTTAAATAATTAATTAAAGTTAGGAATAATATAATTTTGTATGAAGCGTTACAATATCTTTTTCAGTATTCATTTGAATCTATATTATATACTCAAGTTAACTGACTTTTATACCTGAATAAGGATTAAAGTCTATTCAAATTTAATTTACGCCTGATGTAAACAGAAGCAGGTGGACGCTAAAATTGAGAAGGGCCTTATTTTACTTTTCTGTCTTGCAAAAATGTAAAATAAAAGAGTGTAATTGTGAAATTATTTTTTTATTACGATAAAAACATATTTTGTAAAGTAAAACTATAAAATAAATGCCATACACGGTCTCCCAGACTTTAGTGACATTTCTGGACGAAGATAGGTGAGCGATATAAACTGCGTTAACCTGCAATACAGATTAATAAATGTATTAGACTTTATATTTAGTTCATTACATATGTCTACTGTGATACAGAGCATTAAAACAATCATATTATAAAATTATATTGTACAGGGTGTCCAAATAATTGCAAATTCTTTAATAGCTAATATATAGCTACTAAAAGCAATTAAAAAACTTTAAATATAAGAGGTATTTGGTATTTGAATTTGGTATTTGATTTAAAATTGTGCATCTTAAAAAGAAACCCTTCGTATTTTTGATAACTTTTGTTCTTTATTGTTCTTGTTCTATTAGTATTTAGATTAGACAACTTGTACCCTGTATTATAGCAATCTTCCTTACTTGACTTAGCACTATTCTGAATCGGATAAATTAGTTAGACTTGAAAGGCTATCTTCATTAATCAAAATTACAAGTGGTTCTACCTGAACCTCTATAATATTATCCAACTCCCACATTTTTGCTTCAACTTTTTGGCGAAATTAATAATATTACTGCTTCAAAAAGAATTTTAATGTCTCCAGATTTAAATGTTGAGTTTTTATCTGCTATGTATTGTTTAACGTCAACCTAGATTAATTCAATAGGGTTAAGTTCACAATGATACAGAGACATGTGACGTATTATGTTGTTTTGCTGCTTAGCCATTTCATCTATTACATACCTATCATAATGTTTATGTTGCTTACCAATTTTTAGAAGTTGGATCTTAAGCATTTGGTAGTCGAATTCAATTTTTTTCCCTTATAGCCATTTTTAAATATCACCTTTTTTAGACGTCGTAGATATTTTATCCAGCTTTCTCGAATAATAATGCAGTTATCTTCTAATTTTGGTAGAGTGTTTGAAAATCACTCTTTGAACGATTCTCCACACATTTCTTCATGGTAGTCACCGGATTTTTCAACTCAAATACATAAAGTGCAGAGACAAAGCCTTCTTCACTTCCAATATGGCATATAATGAGCTGTTTTTACGCACATACATGATGGGTTTTTAACACCAGTTAAAAGTTCATACAAAAAGGCTTGTCTGGATGAAAAAACCGACATATCGAAACATACTTTTGATTTGATGTGGCCTGCGTTAATCCAAGTCTCATCAAGATAATATATTTTTTTGCTTTTCTTCTCTGTACCGTTTTATTTTTTGTGGCGTAGACGAAACAATTTTAGACAATCATTTTTGTCTAAAAGCAAACTATTTTTTCCTCGAGTTTTAAATTTAAAATTAAGGGTTTTGAAAAGCTTATAAAATGTAGCTCGCTTAAAAGTAGATAAATATGGATCATCGTTGACTTCTTATAAAACCTTATCAATTGTTGGAAGTTAATTTCTAAAGAAGAATTGATGTACTTTGCGCCTTATTGCATTTTTATCAAAATCATCCACAGACCACTAATTTGTTTATAACGTAGCTTTCTTTTTGGTTCAGAAAATTTATGAATCTGCCTATTCGCTCCGTGCGAAGTCATGGAAAGGGAAGCAAAAGCGATACTAGCGCTAGCTGCGGATAATTCGTGCATTTTAGGGCGATATTTTGTAATTTTGGCATATCAAATACACGTATTCATTTAACTTTTTTTCAAAAAAAGTAGGTAAAAACAATACAATAAGCAACCGGAGTTGCTGTGTTGAAAGTACAAATACTAGCAAAAAAACAGTGAAACTTATATAAAAAATTTCAGTAGCAAAGTGAAAATTAAATCAAAGAAATAAATGGATAGATATACAATAAGAAGAAAAATTACCTTTATTTTTGTAATAATAACCGTAATGCTGCAAATAGTAGACATCAGAAACTTGAAAGGTTTTAAATAAACAATAAATTATCATTTTACCATGTTCTTTAATATCCCTTATTCTTAAATGTTCATTCAGCAAGGACTAGATTTCAAGATTTCTGCCTCTGATTAGTATATGTGGTTGGAACGCAATTTTGTAACTTACTGATGGGAAATCAGTTTTAATCATTCATTCTATGTTTTCTTTCGAACAAAAATGAAAATATAAGTATTGATCCTTTTTTTATACATTTTAACTTCACGCTATTATTAAATAGTATTTTTTTATTTTGACAGAATAGACTAATTCTTCAATGAAAACCTATTAGACTTAGGCAACTTCTTATACATTTTCCAGTTAATACTGTTGCCTCCCTATATTTTATTATTGATTTTTATCGATTATATATAATTTTCTTTAATTTAAGCGATTAAAATATATAATAATAATAAATTAATGTTTTACTTGTTTTGCAAATCCATATACTTTTATTAAAACTAACATATATACTTTTTAATAACGAATTCTATTAGAAGTTGCATTTGTCAGTATACGCAGAATTGGCGCTGCTGTCGCGCACGGAGCGAATACTCCTTCATAACATTAAAAACGGTTTTAGCGCACATCCCTGTTTTATCAACAACTCTCCTTTCAACATCATGTACCAACATATCAGGGTTCTATAAAATTTAATGCTTATAAATATTAAGCACCATTTCTTTAGTACGGATGACCATTGACCAAATGTCCCTTTTTCAGTCGCTTTTTAGAAGGAGTAAAAACATTTTTCTGGACTTTATCTGCTGTATCTGTGGAGGACATAGTGTCATGCAGCAATTACAAAATATAGTCAATTAAATGTCCATAAAATAGAGTAAAACATGTTCAAACTAACAACAACCACAAAAACAAAAAAAATAAATAACACAATATATGTATATCTAAACTATAATATAATGAATTATAATCAATCAAACATACAAAATATTCAAACTAACCAACACGGTGAATGCTACCAAAACGCCGTTTATAATTATCCAAATTGATCTGAATTCGACTCTGACAAAAAATATTTGCGCGACGTCTAAATGACAAACGAATGATTAACCAATAGAAGCGCAAAAAAATGTCACGTGAGCTGTTGCTGGATGGGAGAAATTGTTTTGACGCGGCGTAAATGAAATCTGAATAGACTTTAGTAATGAATTATTGGAGAAAATAGCTTTGCAAATAACCTATCGTTTTTTACTGATCTGTAATAGATAAAATTAGT